TTATTAAAAAAATATGCTTTTAAAAATACGACGATGAATGTTAAATGTATAAAAAATGGAAATTTACGAGAATTTATATGCGTTTCGAATTCTTCTTCAGTAAATGCTCGCAAGTAAGAATGATGAGATCACACCTTTAAATTCACCAATAGTTGAATGAAGATGACAATAAAGTGGGTCTCCATTGTGAGAAAAAAGCTAAATGTTACTGTCAATATTTATAACATCAGTTTGTAATGCTCGAGAACGTGTCACTTGACATGAGTTAACGATAAGTAAGCTATGGATAAACAGTTCAGATACATGAAGAATGAGATAATGTTATGACCAATGGCTTCCTTTGACAATAAATAAAAAAAGAAAATAAGCATTCGTTTTGTTTTGGTGTGTTATTCCAAGATATTATTCAATAATCATCTGTGTTGATCCCAGTTATTTCTGGTATATTCGAATACATGAATTGCTCACCATTAACAATTGCCGGCAGAGAAATAAAGCGATAGACTGAAAGTGGAATGTTACTTTCTATCGACGAACGTAAAAATAATGTAGAGACAATAAAACATGGTTGATTGGCTGAGACATTTTCTCGACGAATCGGACACGAACGAAGAATATATATTGATTGAGCGGCAATAAGTTGAGAGAAAAGATTAAGTGATTCAGAAAAATCATTAATTTTATAAAATTTGTGGATGGAAGATATAATTGTACTTAAAAATAACCTTAACTCAGCGTTTGTTAGGAAGTCAAATCCGATTTTATTATTATTTATTTGTCTGAGTATAATATTAGACGGTCCTGGCAATACACGTGGAATATCAGATTGATTGCCATCAACGAGAAAATTTGTTGAATCAAATATTGATTTTTTAATATTATTTATCGAATGAAATTGATTGTCGATGAAGTGCACAGCGGAGTTCGTTTTTGTGATAAATGAGTCAGGACGGTGAATACGAAAAATTCGACTTATATCATTTTGGATTGAATTGGAAGCTTGGTTACTATCATAACGTGGTAAAGCAGTGACTATATCACGAGGTGATAATATAGTGGCAGGTTCAACAATGTTAGTACTTGTGGTATGTGATGTGAACAGGCAAACATCTGCAGACGATGATCCATCACATAAATTATTGATAGGCATAACTGAATGAACGATTTCTTCTTTAAGTTTTGGCGCATATGTACCAATACGTCGGAGCATAAACGCTTTGTCAGTATCAATGACAACATCCGATGTAGGTATATTTAACATCGGCAAAAATTCAGTTGTTCCAAATAAATTGATCGCAGATAACAATATTATAAATTGTAAAGAAACGGCCATCGTGAATGAAAAAAATTATATGAATGACAAATATAATATCAATCTCATTTATGTAGACTATTTTTTTCCTTTTGCTATTTTAGCCAATGGGATGTCATCCAATTGGGAAAAGTCTTTCACCATTGGTCCCTTCTAATCTACCATTTATTTGTCATTATCATGTTCAGAGAGGATATCTTAACTGATCAAAACTAATAAAATCAGTTCGTCCCAAATTGCTCACTCTCACACCTGCTCGCCCCTTTGATATTGTTTGATCTGACAAAGCCAAGTTGGGACGAACTGAGAGGACACCGCTATATTACATATCATTTAGAAATAAAATACTAATTATAAATTTTCTTTTTGAATTTTTCTGCAATTCGGATAACTATTGAAAACAAAAACAACTTCAAAAATACAATTCCGATCCAGTTCGAGTGAAAATGAATCATATCATTTCCATAACACTTCGTCTAATACGTGTCTTAAAGAGATATTCATTGTGTGAAGAATTCATTAATGGAAAACATTTTTCGACATAGAATTATATGTCTTCTATGTGTTATATCATTATTACACTTCGATCTTTTATGTACATTTTGATGGATTAATCAATCGATATCAGATTTTTTTACTTTTATATTTTCAATCAATGTGATTACATCAATATTCTAGACAGGATTTCTGCTGATGTTGTTTCTTCATCCTTTCGATTGTTCTTGTATAATCATTCAACCATATCGCTATTAGAAAAGAGAGAGAGAGAGAGAAACAGCAAGCGAAATATATGATTGGTCACATCTTTTTTGTTTTTTGTTGGGGAGAAATATTGCGTTATAGAAAAATCAATTGATTATTGCGCAAATAAACTTCAAACTGTTAAAATTATGGTATTGAATTTTTAAAAAAAAACGATTATTGGACACAAGTGGGTGGAACCGAAGGATTCCTAGCTGCTATCAAACAACTGGGATCGGATTATCGCGAATTGGATGTGGAAGGGAGTAATGGTTATACAAAATCAGACGGCATATGGGGTCGACTGGCAGAACGAACACAAATTCCAAAGAAGGATACTTATGAAACTCGAAAGTGGCTCTATACAACATGGCAAGAAAATCGGCGGAAGGTCTGCACAACATTCTTCAATACACAAGTTAATGATCTACTAGAAAGTTTAAGTCGAACATCTAATAAGGATGAACAAGACAATCATTCACATGTAGAGACGGTAAGCCTTTTTTCGTCTGTTTTGTATTTGTAATTTATCTAAAATAGTTGCGAGAAAGAAAAGCTTTAATCAACGAGCAATGTAATTATCATTTATGCGCATATTTTTGTAAATCAGTAACATAACGTAAAACGTTGACGACATAAGATATAATAAATATTTACAATCTAGGAAAACTAGAACTGAATGTGATTCTTTTTGTGTATATTTAGATGCCTAACAATGCATCTTTATTAACAATTCCTTCAGCTGTACCAAAAGCCATGCGATCAAAAGATATTTTAGCTTCTCGTTATGTACATCACTTTGCAATGAGCAATGGCGTGCTTTCTACAACCATAAAAGCGGTGATGTGCATGATAATTGGGGAAATCAACTTGTTCCACATTTTATTCGGCTCGGCATGACTTGCGCTATTGTGTTTCGATACCACCATGTTCGAGGAAAAAATTCACGAAAAAAGAATTACAATTTGTTCAGTGGAAGAGGCCATTGTAAAGATGAAAAATGTCCTGTAGAAGTTACGGTCGAAGTTGAGGATGAACCAAAAAACAAAGCCAGTCCATGTTTATTTAAGGTGGTGATTATAGGCGATAAAAATCACCCTTCAAAGGAGGAGACCATGGCTCGTCAATTAACTGGTGATGTTCGGGAAGCGATGGGTATATTGCGATTCTTTTTCTTTTAAAATTTCGTATTGAAATAATTATTTTAGTGAAACAAGTTCAAAAAATAGGAGCGCTAGGTGTTTATGAACGTAATTTACGATATGCTAACGAAGATCCTCTGAAAGAAGGCAATTTTACTGAAGTACCGTCAATAGATGTGCTGAAGACAGCTAAGCAACAGTTTAATAAGAAGTATCGTCTCGATGAAGATTATTTTAAAGAATTGCGCATGTTTGGATTTTTTACTCGATGTACTGATGACGAATCTGAAGATATTAAAGGCGAGAATTTTTTTGAATTTTTGAATTAATTAAGAATTTAATTGTACTTCTATATAGGTTATACAAAAACAAATGGCGAATGGCCGTTTACTGTTCATTTCTTTACTGAAGTACAACTTGATCGATTTGCTAAATATTGCAAGACCGAAAAATATTCAACGTTACATATTGATGCTACTGGCTCCGTTGTACGACAACTAAAACATCAAAGGGACGTCTTCTTTTACTGTATGGTGTTTCAAGATAAAAATTCTCCAATCATGCCGCTTAGTGGAGCATTATTATGTGATCATACAGCCGCCTCAATTACTTCTTATTTTAATTTTTTTCGCGGTAAAATAGCAATACGCAGCAAGGTTGCTCGCCCAGCGTTCGTTGTTATTCACTTTTCTGCCACATTAATTAATAGCGTATTAGCTTCGTTTAATATTGAAAACATTCACACTTATTTACGTCGATGTTATAGTACACTTGACCGCGTCTATGACACCAAAAAATTATGTAATATGACATTTTTACGATTATGCTGTGCTCATGCAATGAAAGCTTTCTTGCGTAGTCTTTTCAAATTGAACGTGTCAAAAGAAACTCATCATCATTTAATGTCGCTTTTCGCCATATTATTAAATTCGACGGAGCTCGAAGGTGCATTCGTTTTATATGCACAGATTGTCTATGTTTACGGAGATCCATATTCGGACAACTCATCT